TCGAACACGATCGTGCCCTATCGTCGAGTCGAACACGATCGTTCCCCATCGTCGAGTCGAACACGATCGTGCCCTATCGTCGAGTCGAACACGATTGTGCCCTATCGTCGAGTCCGACACGATCGTCGAGTCGAACAAGATCGTGCCCTATCATCCAATTGAACATGATCGTGCCCTATTGTCGAGTCCGACACGATCATCGAGTCGAACAGGATCATGCCCTATCGTCGAGTCAAACACGATCGTGCCCTATCGTCGAGTCGAACACGATCGTGGCCTATCGTCGAGTCGACCACGATCGTGCCCTATTGTCGAGTCGAACACGATCGTTCCTTATCGTCGAGTCGAACACGATCGTGCCCTATCATTGATTCGAACACGATCGTGCCCTATCGTCGAGTCCGACACGATCGTCGTGTCGAACACGATTGTGCCCTATCGTCGAGTCGAACACGATTGTGCCCTTTCATCGAGTCCGACACGATCATCGAGTCGAACACGAACATGCCCTATCGTCGAGTCGAAAACGATCGTACCCTGTCGTCGTGTCGAACACGATGATGCCCTATCGTCGAGTCGAACACGATCGTGCCCTATCGTCAACTCGAACACGATCGCGCCCCGTCGTGGAGTCGAACACGATTGTGCTCCGTCGTCGAGTCGAACACGATCGTGCAGTTGAACATGATCGTGCCCTAGCGCCGAGTCCGACATGACCGTCGAGTCGAACATGATCGTGCCCTGTCGTCGATTTGAACACGATCGTGCCCTGTCATTGAGTCTGACACGATCGTCTGGTCGAACACGATCGTGCCCTATCATCGAGTCCGTCACGATCGTCGAGTCGAACACGATCGTGCCCTCTCGTCGAGTCGAACACGATCGTGCCCTGTCGTCGAGTCGAACATGATCGTGCCCTATCGTCGAGCCGAACACGATTGTGTGCAATGCAATGGACAACGAACGTCGTGTACGTGTTGCGTGCGTGGATTGTGGGCATGGATTATGCGCATGGATTGTGTGCAGTGTAATGTCGTGCGGCTTGGTTTGATTGCATCGTTGGGGGGCTTAGACAATTATTCTATGTTGCTGTTGATCGTTGCACTTATGCCGTGCAGGGCACTTCACTGTGGCTATGGAGATCGCTCATTGGATGACCCCAACACTTTGGCGTGCACGGAAGGCACACCCTTTCCCACCTTGTGCGCTACACGTCCGACAATGTCTGGGCAGCACAACCTTTGTCGGCGCTAGTCCCGAAGACTTCGAGTGCGATCCTTGGATGAGAGTCGACCCGTTCGTCGACAAACATTTGGACTCCTGGGAGGAGTACGAGTGGGTAAACATGACGGAGAGATGCCCGTGGGCGGGCGATTATGAGTTCACCAATATATTGGAATTCGGGAAACGTACTGTTGTGCCGTCAGATGTGTTGGGTCCCGTGCAATTGCATCAATTGTGTAAAAAGTTGAAATTTAGCCACCTTAACGGTGTTTCGGACTGCGAATATGTGACAACCTCGCCGCTCACATGGTGCCGTGTTATGAAGCAGGAGTTACTCGACTGTGCACGTCATTCACTGTTCCTCGATCATTATCCACTGCGATCTCCGGGTCTGTCGCCTCGAGTAGTTTCGTATTGTTGTGTGAGATTGCGTCTGGGGTGCTTCATCTTCTGTAGGGTGCTCTGCATTGCCTGTTCGAATAGGGCAAGAAACTTGACAGAAGTTGTCGTGTATGTGTCCAGGAACGAGTTGTCTATGTCCGGAAAGGGTATGTGTTTAGTTCAAAGAGAGATCGATGGGAGACTGGATATCGTGGTCGGTGGCAAGGTGGAGGACATCGGCGCTTGGTGAGAGGTCGAGACTAAAGTCGTTTCTATTCGGGATGCTATAGGCGGTTCTCTCGTCCGGAACTCCTGGTTCGTGCGCATGACATACATTTTGGTGTTTGCTGACACAGCGCAGCAGTTGACCTTCGGATCGGCACTTGGCGTGTTTGATGGCCGCAACGGCGGGAAAGTTCCCCGTAGTCGATAGATGGCCGACGTCGGAGTATTGAAAGGCCGCAACGGCGGGACAGTTCCCCGTAGTCGATGGATAGCCTTTGTCGATCCCCTTTGTCGTTCAACATTTTCCGGCGTGTGACACTTTCACAAGTTTGTCGATGCGTCGAGACCGATGTCGAGGTTTTTTTTAATTTTCTTGTGCGTTCAACAATGTCGCACCGCTGCCTTTTCGTTTGTTCGGACTGAATTTTCATGGACTTCGCATTGAGCGGAATGTGCGGAGTGTCCGTTTGTTGTTCTCATGTTGTGTTTTCTTGAGAAAAATGCGCAGTGTCTGCTGGTTGTTCTCATGTTGTATTTTCTTGAGAAAAATACGCAGTGCGAAAAAATACGCAGTGTGTCGTTGTTGTCCTGATCTTGTTTTCCGATTTACTAAAATCCGGGAATGACGACACATGGACGAGGAACAAACTAGTAAGAGTGTCGGATTGCTGTTCTGTTTTTTCGGTTTAGCGTTCGACATCGACACGTTGCTGCCTTCCCATTTGTTCGGACTGCATATACATGGACTTCGCATTGGGCGAAAAGTGCAAAGTGTCTGAATGTTGTTCTCATGTTGTGTTTCCTTTCGAAAAAACTCTGAATCTTCATGTGGTGCAAAAGCTCGGACAATCATGTCATTTACATAAATACCCAGTGCCAGCTTTTTGTTCTCATGTCATGGGCGCTGGGGACTACACTTGCGACGGTCGAGACGGACGCAAACAGGAGTTCACGGGGCATTGTCGTGACCACACGATGTCGGCCTGCGTTTGTCGTCGTGTCCAGCTCGATCGTGCTGGTTGTTCTCCCACGAACATCTCTCGCCCGTCCGGTGACCATCGTGTCGAACACGACAAACAGCGCACGGCAGACCACACTGTCACTGTCGTGTCGAACTCGACGACCGTCCGGCGACCATCGTGTCGAACACGACAAACAGCGCACGGCAGGGCAGACCACAATGTCACTGTCGTGTCGAACTCAACGGTCAGACAACCTGCACTGTCGACCAACTCGTCGTCGTGTCGACTCGACGGTCAGAAGCGGACATCACGACATGGTCGTCGAGTACTCCGGCCGTCGCGCTGTGTTGCCCCGCTGCAACCGTGTAATGACGTCCGCTTCCGGCCGTCGAGTTGGAGACGACGACGAGTTTGTCGACTGTGCTGGTCGTTCTTCCACGACATGTGTCGTCCACTGTTTGTCGTGTCGGGATCGACGGTTGTGCCATAACGTCCGTTTCCGACCGTCGAGTTCGACATGAAGCGACACTGCGGTCTGCCCTGCGCTGTTTGTCGTGCTCGACACGATAGTCGCGCTGTATTACTCCGCTGTTGTCCTCGTGTCCGACTTTGTTCGTCGCGTTCGAAACGATGGTCGTCACTGTCCCGCTTCTGTTGTTGTGTGTTCCTGTCTGTCCTCGTGTCCGACTTTGTTCGTCGAGTTCGAAACGCCGGTCGCCAGTGTCCCGCTTCTGTTGTTGTGTGTTCCTGTCTATTGTTGTTCTCGATTACTAAGGTGTTTGCGCATCGGTAAGACAATGACTGCTTTCACATTTGTGCGTTTTCTTTCAGCTGCTACTAGCTGCTCGATATGGATCGGAAGGGGAAGCCAAGCAAACAACGTGCTAGTAGAAGTTCCGAGAACATGGATCAATCTCCGAAAAAAACGAAGGGGACACCGACCGCTGACGTGGGGACTGATGAGACACCAGGGTCTAAGGTCCAGTGAACCCCGGTGATGCGGGGTGCGCCTTCTGGGGGCGCTCCTTCCACTCGTGTTCGCGGTTCTGGACCGGATGTGGCTGCGTTGATGAGTGGCGGGGTTGCGGGTCAAGAGGAGGTGACTAGTGATCGGCATGGGAAATCTGTGATGGACGTTGTGCCCAGGCGTAGAAGGTCTTGTGAAACATTCGTTGCAGGTGTGGGAGACGAGGTGTATGTCGTCAACCACAAAGACAAGTGTTGGATGTTGGACTAGGTGGGTGGAATCAGGGAACCCTCGAGTGGACTTGTTTTGTACGTGGTAATCAAAGATAACATTTTGCCGATTGGCGGTGTGGTGGAGTGGACGACATTCACAGTTCGCCATGTTGAAGTTGACGATGGTCCTTAAAGCTAAAGGTGAGCGGATGACAAATGTCAAACGCGTTGCTCTTCGTTGGGCCAAACACGCTGGGTATGGAAAGAAACTTTATGATATTTTCAATCCGCCCAGGATGAAGAAATTGACGTTGCCGGACCTTCCAACGGTTTTCGCATTCTTCGACAGTAATGTGGTCGCAGGGCATGAGCCGGTGGCGCATGCTGCCGAGCGCATATCTGAGTCGAAAAGCGTGCTTTCGTCATCCTTGGAGGCGGCTCCCTTGTCGAGACCAGTCACTATAGGTGTCCGCCCTCCGCAATCCCTTCGGACTCCGGTTTCTGCAACGTGAGTTTCGAAATTTGGGCAGATCGGGGAGAAAGGTCCGTGTCGTGGCCAAATCGTGTCGTCAGCCCCTGTGAAGTCCAGAACAACATCAACCAAGGAACCCGTTTCCTTCGTCCGGCCACCACGTTACGACTTCGACATTCCAAGCCGGCCGCAATATTTTGAAGATGATGACGAGGAGAACAGCGAGGAGTATTCAGAGCGCGATGAAGAATGCGAAGAACATGAGGAGGGTGCCGATGACAGAGGGGAGCATGGGGAAGAAGCGAAAGTAGAGAGTGAGCAGACAATCAGCGAGAGGGGTGGGCCAGGCGAATTAAAGGGTGGTCTAGGGATTGAATATGAGGATGAAGGGCAAGAAGAGGAAACGACCGGCGAGGGAGGGTATGCACAACGGCTCCCGTCGGGACATGGGCATTGGGGTGCGGATCGAGGGCGAGGGGGAATGCACCACGAAGTGACGGTCGTGTCGGCGCATACCCATGCAGCACGGCTGACTGAGAAGAAGAGGAAGATCAGGCAAGAGAGGAGAAGTGATTTGGACAGTAAGAGAACCAAGCAGGAGGGGGGGACCAAACAAGAGGAGTGTCACAAACGCAAGTTGAAACTGCTGCCAGTTGATGAGGCGGTCCGGCGTACGCGGGAGGCTGAGGAGGCCATGAAGAAAAAACGACAGCCAAGGAAAAAAGCAGCGAAGGGAGGTGTGATGGAAAAAACTTTCGTTTTTCCGGCGGACCACCCACAGTCGGATGAAGACGCTGTGGGCAAGACATTCACCAGACCGCCCTGTTTGCAGATTCTGTCGCCTGGGAATTATTCTGGTCATCTGAGCAAAAACTTCTTCATTGAGTTCGACGAGAATGGTAACCAGAGGCCTGAAATGCAGTTCATTTCTGTCAAGTTCGACAGGATTCTGGATATCCCTGCGAAGGAGTTCAGATATAATCAACGCTTTCTCGGTCAGCAGCATATTGATGACATTTACGACGCAATGGTTGAATCCGGTGAGGCAGCTATTAGAGAGAGAACGATCGGAGCAGCCACGGTGAATGTATGTACATTATATGAGAAGTCTGTCCTTTTGGTTGTTGGGCTACATGATACGATGCATACTGACGCTTCCGGAACAAATGTGAGAGCAAGAAGAGTGACGCCCGACGAATTCGATCTCCAATCCGTGCGCAAGTACTACTGGTACCCTCTCAGTGGTCAACATAATGTTGCGACGGCAAGGAAATGTTTTCAAGAGCGCCCTGACATCGCTCGTGAGCTCCGTTTGGATTACTGGACTACAAGGCCTGTTTACTATCCGGATAGAAGCATGGATAATTACGGCACCTTGAGCACTTTCCAAAATGCGAAGGACAAATGAAATACTCCTCCACACCAGATTGTTGTCATTCAAGACATACGAAAGTTGTGGCTGGCAGATGTATATAGTCCGACTTTCTCAGGCCTTACATGATATTGGCAAGGGCGACAAAAGAAGTGGTCGATAAGGTGCGACAAGTGTATTCTGCTTGGGAGAGTGGACAGTTGTCGGGGAGAGATGCTGTGAAGCCTGCCACAAAACAAGGTGAATCGAGGAAAGCGCCGAGACCTGGACCCGGATTCGAGTCGGTAAAAGGAGTCAGGGTTCCAGTGCACTGGATTCAGGGTACTAGAGGACCTGATTACCTCGTCGTTGTGCACGATCCGGATGTCAGATCATGGAAGGCTATGTCTACGTTGGGGAGGCGTGAGCGGCTTCAACTGTTGCGAGACATTCTCGCGGGCAGTGTCATATTGGCTCCAAAGCTTAGTAAAGTTGCTCACATTGCCGGGAAACATTCGAAGGAGACATATGTGAAAATGGTGAAGCTCGAAAGAGCAATGTTGAGAATGTTTCACTACTTTGTCTTCATTTCTGACCCTCACAAGCAGCCGTCAGAGTGGAAGGAACCATTCTTCGACAACCTTTCTGATGTGTTCGCTAGGTATAGTGATCAAGGATTGACATCCAAGAGGTGGATCGACCAGCGACAGCATTTCAAAGACATGAGCTGGGTGCGATCATTTTCGACTACACTTGGAGGAGAGGACGAGAAAGGAGAAGAGGGCTTCAAGAAAACAAAATCGCTTGCAGAGAAATGCCCCGAAGAGTTCATTCAATTTGTCAACAAGTTGTTGCGCAGATCCGAAACCGGGGGTTCGCGAAGCATTCGTATGTCGGGACAAGCGAAATATATGCATTTCCAGAAACAGGGCGTGACATCTGTCCTCGTGCCGTTCCAATGAGAACCGAGCGATGTTTCAGACGAGATGGATTGCAAGGAGATGTATTGAGCCGTCAGACATCTGACGTGCCATACAGCCGTCCTGGATTTGTGCCGCCCAACCCAGATGGGTACGTGGACTAAACAAACGTTTGACGGACTCTGGAAGTTCATGGAAAAACTTGGCGGCGAGTATTGGACATTGTTGTGCTTCGTTCCACGCTCTTGCGAGTTCATATTCTTCAGGCGAGTCGCGAGGTGGGACATTCACTTGGATCTTCTGAAATGGACTCGTCAACAACAAACAAAGAGGAAATGGACATATAAGGTTGCAAACTTGCCTTTGGAGGACACAAACAGAATGGTGGTCATCATGTACTCCAACGACGAGGATTATCATCGCAACACTATTCCCTTGTTTGAAGATATTCAAGCTGCAGGTCCATTGTCTGCCGAGCAAGTGGCTGACCTATCGGCACTTGTGCGGAGAGAGAGAAAGCCAAAGATGTTGACTGATGTCGTGGACAAGAACTTTCCGCCAACAAAGTGGAAAATGACAGGTATGAAACCAAAAAAGAAAGTTGTCTATGATGGTATGGAAAGGGAGTTAAATGCGATGGTGGAGACATTGGAGCATTTTTGTCCTGCGGATGAAGTTGCCGTTTTCCTAGAAAAAGGTCATGCGGCATTGGTTTGGGAGTTGTTAAAGAGTCACCGTCATTGCATTGTGCTGGAAGGGGAGGGTATGAAGTTCGAGTTCCTCACTCAGTTCATTAACAAGATGGTCGGAACTCGAGATTACTTCGCCAAATTTAATAAGCCGCCTCCTCGACATGATGAAGGGCGTGATCTGGTCTACAAGGTTGGTCAAAACATGGTCAATATTTGGGAATTTTTCTTCGAAACAAAGCCGCAACACAGAGGGGAACGTACTTATGTCCTCAGAAGAAGAAACGTGGAGACGCTTTTGAGGGGTTATTATAAAGCACCATCGGAGAGGGAAGTTGCATTCCTCGACCGTTTGGAGACAATATACTTCGACCAACAAATCGAGGCGTTTACAATCGCAGGTTATGCAACTTCTTTTGTGAATGGTGAGGACTTTGATGCCGACCACTCAGAACAAGAGAGTATTGATGGCACTTTGCAAGCGGCTTTGGCAGATGAGAGGCAAAAAGCTTGTAGCTCGGTTTCGCAAACTGTGTGTCCATTCAACTCGCAACGGCCCGAGTTGAATCCTCGTTGAACGTTACAACGGGGGCTTCTCGTTGAAATCCGATCAACGGGTCATGCCCAATGGGCCTCGGACACGTGGCAGGACACATGTGGAAAAAAAAAAGTACAAAAACTACCCTGTGTGTGTGTGTGTGTGTGTGTGTGTGTGTGTGTGTGTGTGTCTGTGTGTGTGTGT